CCCCCCAGGCCGTGGGGGAGGCGGCGTGCGCGGGGAAGTCACCCCCAGGCCGTGGGGGAGGCGGCGTGCGCGGGGAAGTCACCCCCAGGCCGTGGGGGAGGCTTTTCGCCCTGGAGGCTTTCCCGCCTTTCCCCTGCGCAGCTCCCGGCGGCCGGGCCGGGGGGCCCCAGCGCCTGTCGCCGCCTCGGCCTCCTTGGCAGGCGGGGCCTGTTGGGAGTTTCTGGTCAGGACGGAGTTGTGCAGCTTCGGTGTCTAGGAGCCTCTCGGCTTCTTCTGGGTCGGTGCACCCGTGGGCCTGCGGCTTTCCCGGCACGCTGGCACCTGGAGTCCCCGCGGTCCCCGGGTCGCCGCGGGTGGGTGCAAGCATAGGGACGTCCCACTTTCCGATCTCAGTTTCCTGATTCCAGGGTGCGTCTCCTTTGGACTTTGTCTCTTCCAGGTAATGCTTCGTTTTAGCAAGGCTTGTTATGCTTGTTTTTTTCAGTTAACGTTGAGTTTTAGTAATGCTTGTTACTTGTTTATTGAGTTGGAGTCTCACTCCGTCGCCCGGGTCGGAGTCTCACTCCGTCGCCCGGCGGAAGCATGACCGGAGCCCAGCCTCCACCTGCCGGGCTCCGGCGATCCTTCCGCCTCGGCCTTCCGAGTAGCTGGAACGACAGGCACGCGCTGCCACGCCAGGCTGTTTTTGGTTCATTGCAGAGATGAGGTCTCGCCCAGTTGCCCAGGCGCGTCTCGAACCCGCAGGCTCAGGCAATCCACTCACCTCAGCCTCCCTAAGCGCGGGATTTCAGGCTGGGCTACCGAGCCGGCTCTTGTTCTTTCTTCCTTTCTTTATTTTTCCAGCTAATGCGTCGCCTCTTTGCTTAGCTCAGCTTGCTGGTTTTGTTCAGCTGCTTTCCAAGAGCTAACTTTGGGTTCCGTTGATTTTCTCCATTGTTCTCTGAGTCTCCGTTGCTTATTTGTTGTTTGTGCCCGCGTATCTCCTTCCTTCCGCTCGCTCTGAGATTAGGGGGGTTTTTGTTTTGCTTTGTTTTTTCTTTGGAGTTGGAGTTCCACTCCGCGCCCAGGCTGCAGGGTGTTGGCACGCTCACGGCCACCCCAGCAGCGGCGACTGGGCTGCGGCGACCCTGCCCCCTCAGCCTTCCAAGGAGCCGGGACCACAAGCGCGCGCTACCACGCCCGGCTGATGTTTTGGTTGATCGTAGCGACGAGGTCTCGCCAGGTTGCCCAGGCTGGTCTTGAGCTCCTGGGACCAGGCAATCCCCTCACCTCGGCCTCCCAAAGCGCTGGGGTTACAGGCGTGAGCCCCCGCCCCCGCGCCTGGCCGGTTGTTTGTCCTTTTAAGAGACAGAGTGTCTCTGTGTCACCCAGGCGGGCGTGTGGTGGTGTGATCATGGCGTGCGGTGGTGTGATCATGGCGTGTGGTGGTGTGATCACGGCCTCAAGCTGCTGGGCTCGAGCCATTCTCCCGTCTCAGCCTCCTGAGGAGCTGGGACTACGGTTCTGCACCACCACACCTGGCTCATTAGAAGAAGACTTTGTTCTCTAGAGGTGGGGTTTCAAACTCCAGGCCTCAAGCGGACCTCCTGCCTTGGCGCCCAAAGTGCTGGGATTCGTTTCTGTAGTTCATTTATTTAGTCGGAGTCTCACGCTGTCGCCGAGGCTGGAGTGCAGTGGCATGCTCACGGCAGCCTCGACCCGCTGTGCTCGGGCGATCCTTCCGCCTCAGCCTTCCAAGCGGCTGGAAGCACAGGTGTGCGCCACCTTGTCCGGCTACCGTTTTGACCGATTGTAGAGACGAGGTCTCTACCATGTTGCTCGGGCTGGTTTCGCACTCTTGAGCTCAGGCCGTCTTCTCACCTCCGCCTCCCAAGGTGCCGGGACGACAGGCGTGAGCTGCTGCACCCGACTCCCTCCGTGCTTTCACGTTTCCCTTGGGAGTGTTTGTCCCCGACCTGTTGGTCGTGGTCGAGCCAGTGGCCGAAGTTTCACAGATGTGCGCGTCTTTCGGTCTTCCCGGGTTGTGCTTTCTGCCTTCGTCGCCTTGCAGCCAGAGGAGATACTTCGCATATCTCCTTCCGAATCGCCCTGGGAACCTGGTTCGGGCCTGTGGACTTCTGAGACCTTCGGGCACACTCACTTTGTGGCCTTCGCTGTCGGCGTCAGTTACGCAGGGCTGCCCTTCCTCAAGGGAGCGCTGCGGCTCTTCTGTCGCGGTCGTCTAATATGAGACGCTTGCAGGGCAAGAGGTTTCGGTCTCCGTTTTCTTCTTCTTTCTAGTTGGAGTCCCACTCCATCACCCAGCTAGAGCGCCCACGGCTAGCCCGTCATTGACCTTCTGGGCGCTGGCGATCCTTCCGCCTTAGCCTTCCAAGGAGCCGGAACTGCAGGCGCGCTACCACGCCCGGCTAATATTTGGATTTATGGTAGAGACGAGATTTCGCCAGGCTGCCCGGGTTGGTCTTGAGCCCCTGAGCTCAGGCAGTCCTCTCGCCTCGGCCTCCAAAAGTGCTGGGATTGCAGGCTTTAGCCACTGTGCCCAGCCAATGCTCCCCAGTTGGGTTTATTGCGCAAACTTCCTTTTTCCACCAGTCGGGGCGAGGCTCCAGGGAGGTGGTTTGGCCCCACGTGCCGTCTCCTTCCTCTTTTCTGTTTCTTGTAAGACGTGCAGAAACCCAGCCTGGCTGTGCTGCCCAGGCGGATCTGGAGCCTTGGCCTCAAGGGATCCTCCCGCCCGGGCCTCACAGAGGGCTGGCAAGTGAGGTGCTGCTCCCCCCCGCCCTCCCTGCTGCGGACGACTCGGGGCCTGGCCGGACTCGCGTGTCTGCGGTCTAAGAGCAGCCGCTGCTCTGGCGGCCTTGAGAAAGGGCCCGAGTTGCTCCACCCCAGGCTCTTCCCAGTCCGTTTGCCTCCCCTTCCTACGAGAAGCTCCTGGTAGGTGGTAGCGTGGGCTCCTGGTGGCGTTGCCACCCGGCCGTGGTCCTGAGCGTCCTCGCGGATGAAGCCGGTGAGGGATCCTCAGGTGGGAGGCCCGAGGGACCCTGCCCGGGGTGGACTGCCCTGGAGGAAGGTGCTGCTCGCCCGGTGCCTCACGGGGTGCGGCGAGGGCAGCGGCAGGCTCCCGGCCTCTGAAGCGCCCCTCAAAGCCGTGAGGGGCGAGGCCGCGGCCGCGCGTGCTGCGTCCTTGGTCCCGTCTGGCCCGGGCGGCCGCTCATGGCGCGAGGGGGCCGTGCGTCCCGCTGTGTCCCCCGGGTGTCGCTTGCCTGTGAGAAGTGACCCGTGTCGTGCCTGCCTTTCAGCCACCCCATGTCATGCAGCAGTGTCGCCGAGATCATGTCAGTGCTGTTCTTCTACACCATGAAGTACCGGCAGTCGGAGCCAGAGAACCCGGACAACGACCGTTTCGTCTTCTCCAAGGTGTGAGTCAACCCTAGCAGAAGCCGCCCCGCGGGAACGAGGCCCTGGGCGGCCCTGCTGGTTTTCGCGGCTCCTTCTGGGCGTCGTGAGCGCTCGGAGGCGCTCTGGAGAGGACGGCGCTTCGTTCTCGTTCTGCTCTTTCCCCTTGCGAAGGGAAGGGTCTGGCAGTGTGGCCCAGGCGGGCGTGCAGTGGCACGCTCGCAGCTAGGAGGACCACGCGAAGCCCCTTGTGGCACGGCGGTGGGGGTTGGCTGGTGGCAGCGCGGCCGGCCGCCCCGCCTTTCCTCTGGGGGTTCCCTGCCTTGCCGTGGGGAGGAAGGGGGAGCTGGAGTCGGGCCGAGGGCCGCCTCGGAGGCACGGTTCTGTCAGGAGAGATGCAAGCTGCAGGGGAGTTGCTGCCAGGGAGGCCGGGAGAGCCGGAGGAGAGGAGGGGATGCGAGGAGGAGGGTCTGAGAAGAGCACGCGCCGCGTGTCATGCGAGTGTGCGGCACACGCCAGGTGGGGGTGGGGCGGGGGGAGCATCGGGAAGCGGACAGGTAAGTGAACGGGCGGCACGCCAGAGGGCGCCGAGCCTCTGCAGCCGACTCAGGCTGGGGCGCGGGGCTCCTGTGGGAAAAGACTGTTCCAGAAGGACCTCAGCGCTGACGCCCGACAGGTCAGAAGCCGCGAGGGCGAGCTCGCGCAGACCTAGGCACGAGTGCTCAGGGCGCGGGAGCACGGCTGCGAATGCCCTGAGCAGGCCCCCTTGTGACCAGGGGCCCGGAGGCAGCCAGGGTGCCGGAGGGGGGGGGCTGGCGTGTGCAGGCCAGCGCGGGAGGCTGAGGGCTGCCTCGGAGGCGGGACGCCCCTGGGCCGTCCAGAGCCCGATGAGCCGCTTTGGGTTCCAGCAGGCTGCCCGGTGGCTAGGTTGCGGACGGCTCTGGAGGGCGGCCAGGATGGGTCTGGAGGGCGGCCAGGATGGGACGGTGGCAGCAGAAGCTGCAGGGCAAATGGATCGTGTCGGGAAGCTTGGAGGTGGGGCGTCGATCGCTGCGGCAGCCCTTCGGCGTGGCCCTTGTGGGGGACACGCTCTGCACAAGGGACCGCGATGGCCCTGTGAGCGCCGGCAGGATGTGGGGGGCAGAACGCCGGTGGAAGGTGAGTCCTTTCTGGCGTCGGCGCTTTTGGTGGCGGCTCTGAGGGCTCAGGTGGGCCGAGTTTTCTGGCCCGGGGAGCTCACAGCCTCAGCGTTTCTGGCTCTCCGTGGGAGCCCGTGTTCTCCAAGGGTGGAGCCGGCGCTTTGCACGCGGCTGTTGGAGAGGCCTCGTGCCTGCGGCCGGATGCGGGCTCCCCTCTCTGCATTCCCCCGGCACCCGTCAGCCTCTGCGTGCTGGGTGCGGGACCGGCGGCTCCCCAGCGTGGACGCTGGATACCGCCGTCATCTCTGCCACCCGAGCTTCCGGCCCCGGCCGAGGCCCGGACTTGACCCACGGTCCGCCTGTAGCACTGGTCTGAAACTCGGGGCGCCCTTGGGTGTGAGATGAGGCTGAGGAGGGGTGTCCCGACGGCACACTGTCCGGGGACGGGAGCAGCCTGTGGCGACCTTGATACCCATGTCCTGCAGCCCCTCTAGGTCCGCTGGGTCCCTCCTCTCTTGCAGAGACTGTCGTTTGTTACCGTGTCGCCCGGCTGGCTCGGGCAAGGGCTGGGAGTCGCCTGCGGGATGGCGTACACTGGCAAGTACTTCGACCGGGCCAGGTAAGGCCCTTGCCCCCAAGCCACTTACCAGCCCGCGTCCCCCACCCGGGGCCTCGGGACGGCCACCTCGCTCCGCGGGGTGGAGGCCAGCCCTACGGGGCCAGTCCCTGTCCCGTCCCATATGACCCTGGGGAGTGCGCCGCCATCTTTCTCCGAGCTCAGGCAAACATTCCCCACCGTTGCCCACAGGGCGCTGACACTCCCCGCCTGCTGTTGTCTCTCCGATCTCTCTTCCGTGAGACGGGGTGACCTGTGAGGCCACACCGTCATGGGCGTGCTCGGAAAGAGGTCGCGGTGTTTCTGCCGGGGAGGAGCTTCCTCTTCCCTCCAGAGCACGTCTCCTGGGGCGGAACGCGGTGGTTATGGCGACTGCCGTCAGTCGCTGGGCGGGCCAGACGTGGAAGGTGGCCGGGCTTGAAAGTGGAACCGGCGGGGGAATCTCAGGGAGCCGCTTCCTTCCCGTCCCTCTTCCCGTCTCGCTCGCGGCAAGGCGGCGTGGCAGAAGACCCTCGAGATGGCCTCAGGACTGGCGAGAGGAGCAGCCGAAGGGAAGCCCCCGCCTTCGGGCGCACTCGCCGGCTGCCGTGTCTGGCCCTTCGGGAGGCGCAGCAGCGGCCCGAGCCTGGCGGCCTGGAGATCGGCCTCCCTCGCGCTCCTCCCGAAGGACGCTGCCCCAGCGACCCCGGGAGCCCCCGCGAGCTCCTAAGCCCCTCCTCTTCCTTGCTCCAGCTACCGGGTGTTCTGCCTCCTGGGAGATGGCGAGTCCTCAGAGGGCTCCCTCTGGGAGGCCATGGCCTTCGCTTCCTACTACGGGCTGGACAACATCGTGGCGATCTTTGACGTGAACCGCGTGGGACACAGTGGCGCGATGCCCCAGCAGCGCTGCGTAGACACCTACCAGAGGCGCTGCGAAGCCTTCGGGTACCCGTGTCCTTTCTCGCCTTCTCTTCTGCTCCAGCCCCGCCCCTCTGTCTCTCACAACCGGCCCCTTCCCCCGGTGCCAGGTGGAACACTCTCGTGGTGGACGGCCGTGACGTGGAGGCGCTGTGTCGCGTGTTCTGGCTGGCGGCGCAGGTGAAGAACAGGCCCACGGCGGTGGTTGCCAAGACCTTCAGGGGCCGCGGCCTGCCACGTAAGCAAGCGTTTCCTTCCCTCCCTCCCTCCCTCGCTCCCTTCCTTCCTTTCTTCCCTCCTTCCCTGCCTGCACGACAGAGGATGCAGGTGGAGGCTGACACGGGCGTAGGTAGATGACCGCTAGGGACCAGTGGCTGTGCCTGCCATGTGGGCCAGAAGCTCTCGCTCCCTCTGGTGTCCGCTAGGGAGCCTCTCCCTAGGGGGAGGGGAGGCCGAAACCCTGGTGAGCACAGTGGCTTCTGCCTCCGTCAGGGAGTGGCTGGGGGGGGCCAGCAGAAGACAGACAGGGCACGGTCTCTACGCTGAGGACAGAGCCAGCGTGTGTCGTGTGTGAGCGACACACACACCTGCCCAGGCCCGGCCTCTTGGAAGTGCACGTGGGCGACTGGAGAAGCGAGGACCCTGGCCAGGGCCGCTGTGGAGCTGGGAGCGGGGGAGAAGGGAGTTTGGGACACCGGGCTCCTTGCACATCTCGAGGCTTGCTGCTGAAATTATTCATCTCTAGTTTAAGTCATCAGAAAGGCCGGGTGCGTTGGCTCGCGCCCGTAACCCCCCGCACTTTAGGAGGCTGAGGCGAGAGGATTGCCTGAGCCCAGGGGTTCGAGACTAACCTGGGCAACTTGTCGAGACCTCGTCTCTGCAGTAAGTCAAAAAAGTAGCCAGGAGTGGTGGTGTGCACCTGTCGTTCCTGCTCCATGGAGGAGGCTGAGGCGGGAGGATCGCCTGAGCACAGCAGGTCTAGGCTGCGGTGGCTCTGAGTGTGCCGCTGCACCCCAGTCTGGGCCACAGTGAGCTTTCGACCAGAAAAACCAAAGTATCGTCCCAAAGGGTGTGACGATTCTTTGGTTTTGAAAACACACAGGCGTTTAGAACAGAACTGCCCTGTGAGTCCTCCCCAGCATGCAGCCTTCCTCTGGAATCCCCAGGGCGGTGAATGACAGCTCCACCCGTGTGCCCTGGCAGAACCCTGGGCACAGCTCTTGTCTGCGCCCTGCTCCCATACGACCCCACACCTGGCCCCTAGGGTGCATCTCCGATCCATTCACTTTTTGCTGCTTCTGTTGCTGTGATCACCTGTGATCCCGCCCTTCGGGAGGCCGAGGCGGGAGGAATGCTTGAGCCCAGGAGTTCGAGACCAGTGGGGCTACATCGCCAGGCTCCGTAATTAGCCAGGGGTGGTGGTGCCGATAGTCTCAGCTGTTCCGGCGGGTGAGGCAGGAGAATCCCTTGAGCCCAGGAGGCTGAGAGGTGGCAGCGAGCTGTGACCACGCAGCTGCACTCCAGCCTAGGTGACGCGGCAAGACTCTGTCTTCAAAAACAACAGCAGCAGCAGCAAAATCAGACCAAGCAACTTCCTAGGCTCCGTGTGCCAGGTTTTGACTCCTGTGAAGCCTGGGTTGACTTCCCTTTCGTCAGGATATCTTCTAGGTGATCTGGTAGACGCTTGCTAAACACGGCTGGCCGGACGGTCTTTTCCTTGCTTCGTCACAGACGTGGAGGATCCCGAAAGTTGGTTCGGAAAGGCAGTCCCAAGAGAAAGGGCGGATGCGCTGATCAGGCTGATTGAGAGCCAGATCGAGACCAGCGGGAATCTTGAACCGAGACCCCCCGTCGAAGACTCGCCTCAAGTCAGCATCGCGGATATAAGAATGACCTCTCCACCCGCTTTCAACGTGGGCGAAAAGGTAGGCAGAACGGTAGCCGGTCAAGTCAGGTACGTGTGTCGTCTGCTCTGATCCCGGGTTTTGTTCCTAATCACACGGGGCTCATCGTTCACGCCCATCTGCTTGGAGGAGGCGGTTATGAGACAGGGTGACAGTTCACCACCAGGCAGAAGCAACGCAGGTGGGCTGACGTCCTCTCGTATTAGCTCTGAGTTTTCCTTTTGGCGTTCACGCTGAGGTCTGGCTCGCTACCTGTGGGTCAGTTGCTATTTAGTAGCTCCTGGGGTTGCGGGTCTTTTTCGTCCTAACTTTGGTTTGTGGGCCGACAGTCTGCCGTGCCAGAAACTGCCACGATCCTGGGCCTCCTCTGAGAACGGGCGGCCAGTTGGGCTGATCCTTCCAGCTGACTGTCTGGATCCCAGTGGCAAAGCAGGCCAGCCCATCAAGAGCCAGGACTTCTAAAAGGAACCAAATTATGCACGAAACCCTGAAGACGCAGCCCTTTCGCGTTTTCGTTTCTGTTTTTTACATCATTTTTCTCTCTTGCCTTCTGCGGTATTCCTGCCTCCAAGGTAGGCACGGTCTTCAGGACCGAGAGGATGTAGGGTGGCAAGCCGGGGTGGGGGGTGGGGGGTGGGGGAGGGAGGACGTGTTTCCCAATCCTTCTTTATCTGGAGAGAGTTAGGCTCTGTTAGCTTGATAGTAAGGTTTCAAAAGAAACGAGTTGGCCTGGGTGTGCACTCCAGCCTGGGTGACAAAATGAGACCCTCAGCTCGAAAAAATTTTAAAAACTAAACGAATGCTCGAGAAATTCGGAAACACGCTGAATAGCAGAAGAGGGCCGGACACGGTGGCTCAGCCTGTAATCCTAGCACTTTGGGAGACCGAGGCAAGAGGATTGCCTGAATCCGGGGGTTTGAGACCAGCCTGGGCAAACTTGAAGAGACCTCTTCTCTAAAATAAATCACAAAAACCAGCCGGGCGGGGTAGTGTGCGTCTGTAGTTCCAGCTACTTGGAATGCTGAGGTGGAAGGATCGCAGAGCCCAGCAGGTCGAGGCTGCAGTGGCCGTGAGTGTGCCACTGTACTCCAGCCTGGGAGACAAGAGTGAGGCTCCCACTCAAATAAAAAAAAAAAAGCAGAAGAGGCTACGCATGGTGGCTAATGCCTGTAATCCCAGCACTTTGGGGGCCAAGACATGAGGATCGCTTGAGCCCAGGAGTTTAAAACCAGTCTCGGCAACATAGCAAGACTTTGTCTCTACGAGAAAATCCCACAACCCAGCTGAGCGCGGTGCCATGTGCCTGTCATCCATCTACTTGGGAGGTTGAGGGGGAAGGATCACCTGATATCCCAGAAGATGGAGGCTGCAGTGAGCTGTGATCATGCCACTGCACTCCGGCCTGGGTGACAGAGTGCAACCCCGGCGCAAAACAAAAGCAGAAGAAAGGAAAGTGTGCCTGTGGACACAGTGCGCCTCGGCCCTGTGCTTAACGCTTTAACCGTTCCTGTCCTTCTGTCTCTTGGCGCCGCTTCCACAAAGGGATCCTGCAGCATTACGTCATGCACGTGTGCAGCAGTCCCTGTCGGCATGTTGACAGCAGTGTCAGTCATGAGACCAAAATCGGGAAGGACCCAGCGAGGGAGGCGGAGGGCTTGTCCATGTTGGTAAGGTTGCCAGGTGGCACAGCGGATGGCTCTGTCTTTGTGTAGGAAATCTTAAAGGGGGTGTTTGTGTACACTGATAAGGCAAAGGAAGGAGTATGTGGAGAAACGACCCCAGTGAAGAGTGTCTCTGGAAGGTGAGATCATGGGAACTTTTGATTTCTTTTGCGACGCATGAATGGGAAACATGCATTAAGAAAGCAGGCCAGTCCGTGAAAAAAAAATCAGTGAAGTGAAGTCACAAAGAAATCACATTTGTGTGCAAATTTAAGAGCTGCTTCTGTAAATTACTAATACAATCGACAAGCCGTTCATAGTCAAGGAGATAAACACCACAAATAAATACAGTCAGTCATTGGAAAGAGAAGATAACCACAGATGCAGAGTATGTAAAGAATTAGGAGAAAATCATACAACTCTGTACTGATTGGTTGAAAACATGTAAAAAAAGAAAAGGATTTTCTGAGGAATACATAAAATATCAAAACCGACTAAAATACATTAAAAAAAACCTTCAAAGCTGGGCTCGGTGGCTCAGCCTGTTAGCCCGCGCCTTTGGAAGGCTGAGGTGAGTGGATTGCCTGAGCCCGCGGGTTCGAGACCCGCCTGGGCAACGTGGTGAGATCTCATCTCTACAGTAAATCAAAAATTAGCCGGGCGTGGTAGCGCACGCCTGTAGTTCCAGCTACTTGGAAGGCTGAGGCGGAAGGATCGCCGCAGCCCAGCGGATTGAGGCTGCGGTGGCCGGGAGCGGCCACTGCGCTCCAGTCTGGGCGACAGAGTGAGACTCCAACTCAGAAAAACAAAAAACAAAACCAAAAACCTTCGATAGAGAGTAGTCATAGAAAAGCGTTGAGAAAACAGTTTAAGTGCTATACCCGCAAAGGGCCTGGCCCACCAAGTTCAAGAGTGAGTTATCTTTAACCTGATGGGAACGAGTAATTCCTAGCTATTTTCAAACTTTTCCAAATACGGAGAAAGACAAAGGCATCATTTCAGCTTTTGTCGAAGCCAAAATGTGACAAAGCTAGCCTGAAGGAAAAGCAAAACAAAGCAAAAAAAAAACTAGACTGGCCTCTTTTATGAGCGTTAATGTAAAACCTAAGTCAGACGTGAACTCAGCCGGGCATGGTGGCTCGGCCGATAATCCCAGCACTTCGGGAGGCTGAGGCGAGAGGATGGCTTGAGCCCAGTAGTTTGAGGCCAGCCTGGGCAACCTAGTGAGACCCTGTCTCCTTTTTTTTAAGTTAAAAAGTTAGCAAGGCGTCATGCTGCATGCCTGTAGTCTCAGCTGTTCTGGAGACTGAGGCAGAAGGATTCCTGCAGTGAGCCATGACTGCCCCACTGCACTCCAGCCTGGGCGAAGGGTGAGACGTCAACTCCAAAAACAAACAACGGCAAAAAAATCAACCAGTCTCAACTCCGTTCCTACGTTCAAAGAGATATGTGAGTCAGTAAAGATCAGATCGGTACAGCAGATGATTCATCGATGTTAGCAGCTTTACAAATATACTTCCCTGTCGTATCCTTAGGTTAAAGGAGGGGGGACGTGTGGCCACTTTTGTCCAGGCCTAACAGAAGCCATTGAAAAATTCCCACTTTCGAAAGACCGAACGGGACTGGTGAGAGAACGTTCTCAGTCTGATTCTCGATCTAGAGTCCCCTTAGATCTGGAGTCCCCTTTTGCACCTGACGGCGGAACCGTTCTCAGCCTGGCAGAGAGATTCAGTCCCAGTGCTGACCAATGGGACGTGCGGGAATCGGTCCCAACGAGAAGGCAGGTCTGTTGTCATTTGCGGGTGGTGTGTCTGGAAAACCCAGGACAGATCTACCGGAAATGACTAGAGATAAGGACAGAGACCGGTAAGAGAGACTGTGGGACAACTCGTAGGCAAGGATCAGTTCCTCTCTGACATTCACGATCACTGGTTAGGAGGTGTGCCGGCGAGGAGACGAGCCCTCCGATCGTTGTAATGGCAAATAAAATAACTATCCATGAATCATACAGAGGGTCTACATTCAGATGCTGATTCGACTAGACGCCAGACAGCAGCCCGCGTGCCTCGCGTGCAGCAGATGCTCACCGAAGACTTGTACGAGGGCCGTTTCTGAAAGGCCGTCCCACAAACCTGGAGTTGTCCTTGCCCTCTGGGGAGGGGAGCTTGGTGGCTGGGGACGGGAGCAGGAGGAAGATGGCCTCCTCGCGTGCCTTCCTTTGTAACGTTTGACTTTGGTTCCACCTACACGTTGCCTGTCTAAAAAACAGGTGTGAGTAAATGGTTTAGATTGCTTGGAGGAGTGAGGGCAGAAATCCAAGGAGTCCCGCCTTGTTTCTTAATACGTTTTGGCCCCTGTGAGGTGTACATTCCAGGGGTCTTTGGCATGTGCCGGAGTTGTGCAACCATCACCATCCATCGTACACGTTTTTCTTGACACTTTGTTTCCAGGAGGGGTCGCGCTCTGTCGCCCTGGCTGGAGTGCAGGGGCACAGATGACGGCGCACCGCAGCCTCGATCTCCTGGGCTCAGGAGATCCTTCTGCCTCAGCCTCCTGAGTCGCTGGGACCACAGGCGCGTGCCACCACGCCCGGCTAATCTTTTGATTTTTTTTTTTTTTTTGCCGAGATGATATCTTGCTGTGCGGCCAGGCTGCTCTCAAAGCCCTGGGCTCAAGCAGTTCTCTTGCCTCAGGCTCCCTGAGTACTGGCATCGCAGACGTGATGCGCCGCGCCTGGCCAGGGACGGGTGAACGATCGGCTAGCGGTCCGGGTTTATGACCCAAAAGGAAGTTGCTGGTGAAACGCACGTCGACCTTCTCCATCCAGATCGATGACGTTTTGTTCCGCACACTTGTACCCTCCTTGGAGAGGCATTCCGAGAAGCTCTGCCACTTGTCCCTTTCTTCCAGGTGGCTACTCGGAAAGCCTGTGGTCTGGCCCTGGTTAAGCTGGGCTATGCCAACGACAGAGTCATCGTCCTGGATGGTGACACCAAGAACTCGACCTGTTCTGACATATTCAAGAAGGAACACCCCGAGCGCTTCATCGACTGCTTCATCGCTGAGCAGAACATGGTGAGTGGGTAGCACCCCGCGTCTTCTCTCTCTCCGTGGCCGCCGGACACAGAAGGCGCAGCCGCCATGACGCCTCCTCTCTCCGCCGATGGAAGCCAAAGGCCCCACCGGGGCAGCGGGAGGCCACGAGCCCGCAGAGTCTGAGAAGTGGCTTCCGGCCTGCTGCGAGGGGCGCGTGCTGCGTCACTCCGCACTCCGGTGCTGCCTCCAGGAGGCAGAGGGCCACAGCCATCTGGCCCCGGGGCTGCAGGCCTGGAGCACCCCACGCTGCCCCACAGCGAGGCAGCCCTGCAGCCGGCCCAAGGGAAGTGGCTGAGGAAGCGGGTCTCTCCCTCTCACGTAGCAGGGGCCGCAGAGTTGCTAGAAACGCCGAGGGCATGCTGACCGCATCACAGGAATACCAGGGCTCGGAGCTGGTGCCTGGGAGAAGCTGTTCTGCGCCTCTGTGCCCCAGTCTCTCCCCAGAGTGATGCTCGTGCAGGGAGCCCCTCGCCAGAGAAGAGGCGGCGGTGTGAGGAAAGCCTCTGAGCTGTGAACCCTAGGTCGGCGGAGTACGATGTCCTCCCCTGGCCTCGGGTCGCAGCGCTCGGGTACTTGTGTGATTTTCTTCTAGCCAGGTGACCGGGGGCCGGCAGTTCTGGCGTGACCACCAGCAATGCTTTATTTAGTTAGAACAAGCAGTCTCGAGACTGGTTGAAAATTCGTTGCCAGCATTTAAAGTACGGGAGATTACAGGCGCGGTGGCAGGCACCTGCAGTCGCGGCTACCAGGCAGGCTGAGGCGGAGGGATCGCTGGAGTCCGCCTGGGCAACATAGCGAGACCCGCGTCTCGGAAAAAAAAAGAATCTAAAAGCCAGGAGATGTCACAGAGAATCGAGCCGAAGTTCGGCGTCCCCCGTGAGCGGTGGGAAGAACGGCCACCGCAGGCCAGCATTCCTCCCTGAGGCCGGGTGAGTGCGGCCGAGCAGTGTCCTGGGGCGATGGCCACTCCGGCCCTCCCTCCGCCATCCCCACGTGCTGCTGGCCGCTCGTTCCTCCACACCGCCTCCCTGGCCCCGTCAGTGGGAAGGGAAGCTTCCCTGTTGAGTGAAGTAGGTCGTCCCAACGGTCACAAGCGGCATGCTTTCCCCGGGTGGCAGGAAGCTCTCTTCGTTTCGAGTGGGAAAGCGTGATCTGTGGGCTTCCGGTTGACCCTCCTGTCGAAAGCTGGGGCCCCTCATTAGCCTGGGCCTCCTGGTGTTACCTCACAGTTGGAAGCAAAGGGGTAGAGGGGAGGCCGGAGGGAGCGATTCGTGCCACACCGGAAGGGGCGGGGACGGTAAGGGTGTGCTTGGGGCCATCGTGGACACCTCTTTCTAGGGCGAGGTGCCCGTGATGCTGAGACTCAGGTGAGGAGGAATCTGTCGTGGCCAGGCGTGGGGGACTGGGGCCGGTTTGCCCAGCAGAGGGCCCGGCTGGCCTGGAGCAGGCCCCAGCTGGGGTGTGGAGGGAGCAGGGGGCAGCCGCAAGCCGGGGTCTGGGGAGCACAGACAGCCTCCGGGGAGATCGTGCTGGTTTCGCGCCCCGTCTGCCCCTGTGGTTCTCGTGCAGTTGGCTGGGAGGCGCTGGAGGCCTTCAAGCAGCAAAGCCGCGGGGTGTGCTTCCGGAACCCTGCGGGGTGGAGAAGGGCTGCACTGGGGGAGGCAGTGTGGAGGAGAGGGTGGTGTGTTCCCCACGATCGCTGTGGCTGGAGAGACGCCGCCCCGTCAGACGGCAGCACGCCACGGGCAAATGCCGGGGCAGGAATCAAGGCTGGCCCTGAGGTGTGGGCTGGAGCCCCTGGGGGGAGGGTGGCGTCGCCTCCCGACATGGACGAGACTTAGGGAGGAGTGGATTCGGGGGCATCCCCGGGACCTCTCTTTGGCCCGGGGGTTCAGAGTGCCTGTTACACGCGTGGGGAGCCAGAGGGGAGGGGCACGGGGAGATGCTAGTCTGATGGAGGCCAGCCAGTGGGTCGGTCATCTTCCAGGGCGTCTGCTCTCTGGCCAGGCTTGGCGGCTCACACTACCCTGTAAGCCCAGCGCTTTGGGAGGCTCAGGCGGGAGGACTGCTGGGGCCCAGGAGTTCGAGACTAGCCTGGGCAACATGGTGAGCTCCCATCTCTACACAAAAGGAAACGCAAAAAACGTAGCCAGGTGTGGAGGCGCACCGAATAGTCCCAGCTGCTTGGGGGGCTGAGCCGGGAGGATTGCCCGAGCCCAGGAGGCCGAGGCTACAGTAGGCCGTGGTAGTGCCGTTGCACTCCAGCCTGGGTGGCGGAGTGAGAGCCCGACTCGGATCAGATGGGTGAGATAGATAGATGGGCGGATAGATTGATTAGACAGACAGATTAGCTAGAGTCTGCTCTCCAAAGCACTGAATGTGGTTTTCTCAGGCAAGTAGCATCCCTTTGCCTGGTTTCAAGCTGACATCAGAATCGGCCGTCACAGGCTTAAGTAGTTGTAAAGGAGGTAATTGCCCAGCTGTGTGGAGACTTTTGACTTTTCAGTGAATACTCGGAGCATCCAATTAAATAGATGAGGCGGACACTTTTGGGGTAGAAATTAGATCCCATGTTCTACTCGAATTCTTTCCAGTCCATTTCCCCAGTAGCCCTTCGTGCGTGAAAGCCTCCTCACGGTCGTCTGTCATCCTTGTCTGCGGCAGGGATGTGCATTATCAATGGAGAGGGCCTCCCGAAAGGGCTTGTGAGCCAGGCGCGGTGGCTCACACCCGCAATCCCAGCACTTGGGGCGCCCGAGCCCTCGGGTTCGAGAGCATCCTGGGAAACATGGCGGGACTCTGCCATAAACAGATCAAACTAGCCGGGGGTGGTGCTGCGTGCCTGTAGTTCCAGCTACTTGGAAAGGCTGAAGCGGAAGGCTCGCCTGAGCCCAGCAGGTCGGGGCCGCGGTGGCCGTGAGAGTGCCACTGCAGTCAAGCCTGGGCGACGGAGTGAGACTCCGACTCAAAACAAAAAGGCCTCTGAGCGCTGGGGTGTTTTCCTCCTGGCTCGGGCTGTGCCTGTTGGGGTCCCCGTGTACGTCAGCAGAGAAGCGTTCTTGTGATTGGCTAGGGTGAGATTTGCAAGGGCTCCTGTTCCTGCTTTTCGCGTTACCGACGTCAGGGCTTTGAAGCCTGCCTCCCGTCAGTCCGTAGTCGGGAAGGGAAGCTCTGCCGTAGGGCTGCCGCTGCGTTCGTTCGGTTCCCTCCTGGTTGTGAGGCCACAGCCACACTGTGACTCGCCCAAGGATTGGTCCTCCAGCCCTGTGAGCTCTCCCCTCTCTCTGTGTCGGCGTGCTACTTTCGGCCGTCCTGTGGAGTTGGGTCCGCAGGGGTCACTCCACCGTGTTGTCCACTGCGAGATGCGGCTGGCCGCGAGCGGGCCCGCTGGGGTCAGGTTGCCGGAAGGTGATTGCGAGGGGCCGGTGCGAGAGGAGTGCAGGCCCCTCTCTGGCGGGCGGGTGTAGACCGAGGCGACACGCCTTCAAGCACCGTGACCTGGAAGTCTCTTGGCTGAGCCCTGGAGAGGTTCACTTCTAAGGTGAAGCCTCCTGGGGCCGACGAGCCCAGACTCTGGGGCCCGGGAGGACTAGCCCGGAAAGCGGGGTCGTCACCATAGTGCGGAGCAGAGCCGGAGGGCGGAGAAGCAGAAGGGGAAGCGGACGCCCGGCAGGAAGAGGGCCCGGTCTGGCAGGTCCAGCGAGGCGGGAGGACGGTCCCGTAGCAACGTCATGGACGCCTTGGAAAGGAAGGGCCTTGACAAGACGGGCGATGTTCTCTGCTCGAGCTGCTGGGAGGCCACGTGGGAGGCCAGCCGGGGGTGGGTGAGCTCTTGTCTGGCAGCCCGGAGGTCTCTCCCGTGGGTGGCAGCCGCCTGGAGGAAGTAGGCTGGGGAGAGCCCGGGAGAGGAGAAAGTGGGGCTGACCGGACGGTGGGCGAAGGGTTCCGTGAAGGAGAACGTGCGCGTGGGGGGCCTCTGCGGAAGGCGAGGCGGAGGTGGGGGTGGGACGATGGAGGGTCCCGGCAGGTATTGGGATAGACTTAACCGAGAGGCGGGGGCCGCTGATCGGCAGGGGACCTGCAGCGACGGAGGCCTCTCGGAGAAAGCAGAGGAGAACGAGACTCAGGATGGCCTGCGGGCTCCTCGACCCTCAGGAGGCGCAGGCTCAGGGAGGGCGGGTCGGGTGGACGGGACAGACCACAGCTGTCGCTTCTTGCACCCTGGGCGGTAAGCGGCCCCCAGCACGGCTGCACAGGGCGGGGTCTGGGCTGGGAGAGCGGGGAAGGAGAGTGTTTGAGCAACAAGGAGGTGGAAGGGAGCAGAGCAGTTGGGTACAGGCAGAGCAGGGCTGGAGGCGGGACCCTGTGGTCCCAGAGGGGAAGGGGTGAGGGGAGCAGAGCAGCTGGACGCGGGCAGAGCAGGGATGGCACTGGGACCTCGCAGTCCTGGCGAGGAACGGGGAGGGGGCAGGGCACGGCGCGTTCTGACTCGTGCTCTTTGTGTCGCAGGTGAGCGTGGCCCTGGGCTGTGCCACCCGGGGTCGGACCGTGGCCTTCGTGAGCACCTTCGCTGCCTTCTTGACCCGCGCGTTCGACCAGATCCGGATGGGAGCCCTCTCCCAAGCCAACATCAACCTGATCGGCTCCCACTGCGGGGTGTCCGTGGGTATGTTCCGGCTGCCGTGGTCTTGAGACGTTCCTCCTGTGGGGAGGAAGGGTGGTGTGGATGGGGGGCCCGTGATGGCTCCCCGTGGTCCCGTAGGTTGGGATCTTTGGGACTCCTTGAAACTGCCGTCTTGTACTTTGTGTCAGGCTCTCGGCAGCTTCTGACGCCGGTCTCCTGGCGGTGCCCTGAGCGCCCTCTTCCAGTCAGGTGCCGCTACGTGGAGGCGTGTGCGGGATGGGACTGGGGCCCCGCAGACTCGCAGAATCCTCTTCTGCCCACGGAGTGGTCGCAGTCCAGCGGGGCAGGCTGCGTGGGCAGAAGGGAGCCCGCCCCTGTGCATCCGGGCTGGGATCCCTGCTGCCACCTCCGGGCCCTGTGGGGAGCCCAGGGGAGCAGGACCCGGGGCAACGACGCCAGACTCCTGGCCCTGAGAGGCTCCCCTGGCGGGGGCAAGAAGGAAACCACAGGAACGGGCTAGAAGCGACGATGGAGATGGGGGTGCGAGGGCAGCGGGGAGAGGATGAGGGGAGGGCCCAAGAGGCTTAGGAAGCCTGGAGCCGCGCTAGCAGGAGGAGGGGCCTGACGTCGGGGAGCACGTCGCAAGTTTCCAGGCTGCTCTTACGGGGAGGAGTAGGGAGAGCCGAGCCACGGGGGCCTGCGCTGGGTGGGGCAGGGTAGCAGGGGATGCCGCAGCTCTCCGTGGCTGCTGGAAGGCCGGGGCGCCCATCGGGATCCATCGTGGTGACCCCTGGGAGAATGGGACAGGGTACGACCACCCTAGACAGCGCTGGGCATCGTGGCCATCCTGAAGGCGCTGGCGGTCACGCAGGGTAAGGGAATAGACAACGGGGTGCCGAGGACAGGGCCCAGTGCGCTCGTGTGGGCCCAGGGCAGATGCCTGGACGGGGGCCAGGCTCCTCGCCAGGGCTGCTTCAGCCACTGGCATCCACTCAGTTCTGTGGGGCAGGGGCCCCGGGTCCCATCCAAGGGCGAGTGGGCTTCTGAGGTCAGACGGGTGGCGTCGGCAAGGCATCGTGCACAGAGACAGCCCGTCCTTGCCGACAGGAGACAGCGCCCGAGGTACGTGGGGTTCTCTTTCCACGGAGTTTCCGGCCAGAAACTCTGATCCCAGGAATACCTTGAAGCACCCGTAGTGCCAGCAGTACCCCAGGGCGCCCCGAGGAACGTGGCACTACAGTCCTTTGAAGGCCTGGAGAAAGGAGCGAGGCCATGTGGGTCTGCACGCCCCGTCTCTTGAGGGGGAGGACACAGGACAGCAGGGAAGGAAGGACAGAGTCCCATGGGACCCTCCTGAGGAAGACCGGGTCAGAGGCTGGGCAGGGCCACCGATGCACAGTCCCCTCGGATGATGGCGCTGAACCATGGGTCCAAAGTTCCATTGGGAGCCTTACCCCGAGGAGTGGTAACGAGATCCCATGAGAGACAGGCATGGGAATTTGCTGTAGAAATCACCCTGAGTTCCGGCGACGTCACTGGGGCCGTCGTGGGCCCCGCCCTGGTTAGGGGTACCCTGTGGCAGTAGGGGACATCGCTTCTCCAGAGGGGCAGAGGGGCGGAGGGCAGCTTCCTGGCGGGCTGTGCTCAAGTGTCCGTTGGCGCTGCCTTTCTCAGGTGAAGACGGCCCCTCGCAGATGGCCCTGGAGGACCTGGCCATGTTCCGGGCCATTCCCAACTGCACGGTTTTCTACCCGAGCGATGCCGTCTCCACGGAGCACGCGATTTACCTGGCGGCCAACACCAAGGTATTGTCGAGGGGACGTGGGGCAGACAGAAAAGACTGGGCTCCGCTCTCGTTTTGACTTGGTGATGGGACGTTTCTCCCGGCATAACGGGGCTGGAGAATTGGGTGATGGGATTCTTTTTAAAAACAGGACCTTTACAGAAACGGGACCACACGTACAAACACCTTTGCTCTGTCAAAGCGTCACACGGCACAGAGGGATTCAGAACACAGCCTGACAGCCTCTGTGAGGGATCAGCACCTGGGACTGGGACCGCGCTGGGTTTCTGCAGAGGAAAGGGTTGATGATGGCTGCTCGGGGTGGCAGGGTCTGCCCCCCAGTGGAGCTGCCCCATCTGAGGCCACCTCTGGGCTGGTGGCCTTAAGACACACCCTAGTGGGAGAAAAAAGCCACCGCAGCTGCCACTGTGTTCTCTCCACACTCGGGAAGCTGGCAGGGTGGTGGGACACTGCTGGTAACAGAGCCAGGTGCCCCGGCTCCTGCCTGCCCTCAGAAGGGGAGGAAGGGTGGGTGTGTGAGCTCAGTCCGGGGCGTCGGAGGGACAGAACCCGGTGCCTCTCAGGCCCCAGCTGGGCTGGGGAAGGGTCGTGCCTACCGCTCCCACCTCTCCACCTGCCTTCGCCAAACGCCCATCCCCACCGAACCCTGAGTCTGGCCCCCGCCCCCTGCACAGGACACGCCGGGCACGGTGGCGGCAGGTCTCGCGAGCTCCCTTTCCGGCACGTCGTGGCACTGATGGTTGGTGTTGGATGTTTTCGTTTGTTTGTTTTTTTGTTGGAGTCTCACTCTTTTGCCCAGACTCTCTCTCAGCCACCACAGCTTCGACCTGCTGGGCTCAGGCGACCCTTCTGCCTCAGCCTACCAAGTAGCTGGAACTACATACAGGCCCGCACCACCGTGCCCAGCTAATTTTTAAAAAATATATTGCGGAGATGAGGTCTTGCCAAGTAGTCCCGGCTGATCTCGAACCCGTGGGCTCAGGCAGTCCTCTCACA